CTGCGAGAGATGACACACATCCGGCCACCACGACTTGCCAAGGATGCGGTCCACATCGGACTGAATGGAATCCGAATTTGAATGTAAAATCTGTCTTGAACTCTGAGACTATGTATGATGAGTCTTGTATGATGAGGGGTGTATGACAAGTGATGAATGATGAGTGGTGTATGTTGAGTGGTGTATGATGAGTGGTGTATGACGAGTGGTGTATGATGAGTGGTGTATGCTGACTGGTGTATGATGAGTGGTGTCTTGACCAGCAGTTGAATGTCCTGTCCTGCATAACTGCAACCAAATACTATCAGTATGAACTGAACGCGCGCGCCGCGAGAGATGGAGAGATGACTCAGTCGCGAGAGATGACTCAGCCGCGAGAGATGGCTATAGCGAGAGCTGACTCAGCAGCGAGAGATGAATGAGCAGCGACAGATGACTCCTCCGCGTACTACACTGTTCGCCAGTACAACTCTAGTTGTACTACGAAGTCGCCAGTCCTCAGCTTCTAGCTGCACAGATTGCTCCGCGTGCTGAAGTTGTACTACAAAGTCGCCAGTTCTCATCGCCCAGCTTGCCAGATACTCCGCGCGCTAAAGTTGTACTACAAAGTCGCCAGTTCTCAGCTTCCAGCTCTACAGATTGCTCCGCGTACTAAAGTTGTACTAGAAAGTCGCCAGTTCTCACCATCCAGCTCCACAGATACTCCGCGTAGTTGTACTACAAAGTCGCCAGTTCTCCTCGTCCAGCTCGCCAGATACTCCGTGTACTAAAGTTGTACTACGAAGTCGCCAGTTCTCAGCTTCTAGCTGCACAGATTGCTCCGCGTACTGAAGTTGTACTACAAAGTCGCCAGTTCTCATCGTCCAGCTTGCCAGATTCTCCGCGTACTAAAGTTGCACTACAATGTCGCCAGTTCTCAGCTTCCAGCTCTACAGATTGCTCCGCGTACTAAAGTTGTACTAGAAAGTCGCCAGTTCTCAGCTTCCAGCTCTACAGATTGCTCCGCGTACTAGAGTTGTACTACAAAGTCGCCAGTTCTCAGCTTCCAGCTCTACAGATTGCTCCGCGTACTAAAGTTGTACTAGAAAGTCGCCAGTTCTCAGCTTCCAGCTCCACAGATACTCCGCGTACTAAAGTTGTACTACAAAGTCGCCAGTTCTCAGCTTCTAGCTGCACAGATTGCACCGCCTACTAAAGTTGTACTAGAA